ACTCACCCCATCAGCACCCAACCACCCCCGCTCTTCCCCCGCTCTTCTCTCCCGTCTCCGCCCCACCCCGCCCGCGCCCCATGTATAGAAGCCCCTTCCCCTCCTTCTCATTCCCCTTCCCCTTCCCCTTCGCGCCCGTCGTTCGCTCTCGCTCTCAAGTTCAAGTTGTGCCCCAGACTGTCTTGTACGAAAATACAATGCTACTATGGAGGGAATGAATGAAATGAATGGAATTATTGGAATTTGTCGCCCCCCCCCCCCGGTACGCTGTACGCTCTGTTTGCACGTTATCCCTATTCTCCTCTCCTCGTCCTGGAAGCATCCATGGAAGACGGTCGCTTCCTACGTACGTGCGCGTACGTGAGCGGAGCATAGACGTCGTCTGACCACAAAAAGAAAAGGGGATAAAGAAGCCGAGGACGTATAGTATGTTAACGTTATTCACGATGTTCTGGATCGTTTTTATGGCACGGGCGATAGGGCAAACACGCTCTGAGAACAGCAATTTTCATTTTTCAGGAATAACAGGTCGACGCTATTCGCTATTATAAGATCCGGTCTGAACTCTGGAACTGGGGGGGATATGAATAGCGAGAAGATAGAAGGAAGGTGAGCAGAAGGCTGAGTCCGAGTCAAAGAGAACATGCCGCCTGAGACCACCGACCAGCTCGAACGTTAGGTTTTGGAGGTTCTAGAGGTTCTTCGTACTCATTATCGCGAATTCATAACTATCTTCCCAACCTGGGATCGTTTACGCCAGCCCGCGTTCCGTCCGCCAGCCGATCAGCCCCCCGCCCCCCGCCAATCCCAAAAGGAGTATTGCATTCCCCCTCCGCCAGTTTCCTTACACACCGCGGGTGACAGCGAGGCGGCCGGCAGGCCTTTGCGGGGTGTGTCGGCCCGGTGAGTCGTGCGCGGGGGCGTGTGACCGGCGGTGGGGGTTCGGCCGAGTGCTTGCATTGACAGTACCAGGAGCTTGGTTGTCTGACTACTCGGTAGGCGGGCGAATGGAATAACTGGTGTTCTTACTAATATACCGATGTATTGCACAAAGGATGCCCGTTACTATACGTACACATTGCGACTACAAGTTGCATGCGGCAAAGAAGATATCATCAATGGGATGAGCCAGCTCGAAATCCGCAATGTTCGCGTCATGTCATGTTCGACGCGTTCGGCAGCTCGGCACGCGCGTTATTCACTCGGGCCGGCGCTTACTGCCGCGGCGTCGGGGCCGAGTCATCCGAAAATATTTCTACACTACTCTCCCCGGTGACCGGCATGCCCATGGCTGTGGGACAGTCCACCACGCACGGCCGCAACATGCCGGCTATGGTGGGGGAATGTCGGGGGGCTCGTGGGCTGATAACTGTCAACAATATAACCCTTAGGAGCTGGCGATAACATGGTTGGTATATCCTTGTACTTCATTCCCTCTGGGCTGGCTGCTTGCTTGTCTCGACTGACCTGAGCCGAGACATAGTCGGCATTGAATTAGACAACAGCATGGCGCATGTTGCGGGGTCGAGTGATGCCGCGTCCCTGGAGGAGATCGAGCTCCACACACCGGGGCGGACTCCAGCACAATTCGACGGCGTTGGCCTCAGCGAGGCGATGACGAGGCTAGGCAACTCTCTTTCGCAGGATGATGACATGAAGAAGTCCCCAACGTCAGACGGACCTTCCAAGCGGAAAAGTACGGACGAAGACCAGCGTACCTTGGCTGAGGTCCCGCGGGAGGGGGCGGCTGTGGGAGAGGGAGAGGTGGAAGATGAACCTGACCCTACGCTCGCCCATGCTCAGGAGAGGAAGGGCGACGTGTATGATCGGTTTAGCAGACGGAGGAAGTATGCCATCGTGGGCATCGTGGCGTACTCTGCTCTGCTTGCGCGTGAGTCTCACCATCGGACAATTGATAGGCAAGTGCTGATCTGAGGTTATGTGTGAACGGACAGCGTTCGCCTCCTCTTCTTTCCTCCCATCTATCCCGACGATTTCCAACGACCTCTCCTGCTCCGGTGACGTGATCAACTACACCGTAGCGATCTATCTCGTCACCATCGGCGTCGCTCCACTAGCATGGGCTCCCTACGCCCGGTTTTACGGGCGCAAGCCGATCTATCTCGTCTCGCTGCCACTGTTTTGCGTGGGGAGCATGGGCGTTGCGCTCAGCCAGAGCTTGGTGCAGCTGATCGTCACCCGAATCTTGCAGGGCATCGGGGCAAGTAGCGTGCTGAGTGTCGGGGCTGGGAGTATCGGAGATATCGTAAGTCTCCATTCTCTTTCTCTCTCGTTGTCATCCTGGGTGCTGCATACTGATAAACGCTTTTCTTCCCGCGCAGTATCGACCAACTGAACGCGGGCGCGCGATGGGTCTCATGTACGGCGGTGCACTGTTCGGTCCTGCCCTGGCACCGCTGGTGGCTGGTCTCCTTACACAGTACGTGGCCAACGGCTATGGTTGGCGCGCCATGCAATGGCTCCTCTGTGCCATGGGGGGCCTCGCCGCTGGGTTGGTGCTGTTCCTGTTGCCGGAAACAGCGCACTCTAGGGGTGTTGTTGCTGAACTCGAAAAGCGGAAAAGGGAGGGCAAGCGTTCGAGGTTCGTGTGGGTGTGGCTGGACCCCATTAAGCCCGTGTGGTTGTTGAGGTACAAGAACGTGTTGGTGATAAGTATCGTGAGCTCTGTGGTGCTGGAAACGACTTATGGTACGTCCATTTCCTCTCGTTAGACACAAGCGCTGACTGTCGCTTCCACACAGCGATCCTCGTCCCACTAACGTATACGATCGGCCCGCGTTATTCCATCACCTCCGTCGCTGTTCTCGGCCTGCTCTATCTCGCCCCAGGAGTCGGAAATCTCATTGGCTCGCGCGTCGCCGGCATCCAGTCCGACCAAGCAGTAAAACATTCTCTCCGTCTGCGGAACGGGATTTTCCATCCGGAGGATCGACTGCGTGCGACACTCATCGGTTCCGGTATAATACTTCCCGTCACTGTCCTAGCATACGGGATCGTGGTCCAGTTCTGGATGGGTCCTGGAGGACTAGCCGTGGCATTGATCTTGATTGCGGCTAGCGGGTTCGGCCTGATGACGATATTGGCGATATGCAATACCTATTTGGTGGATTCGATGCAGACGAGAAGCACAGAAGTCATCGCTATCAAGTGCGTATGGCCCACCGCGATTCTGGGATGCCACTAACTTTCATTTTGCACATTTAGCAACTGTCTCCGATATGTTGCATGCGCTGCCTCCTCGTCCTACTGCCTTCCTTTGACAAACGCGATCGGGGTTGCACCTATGAACGCGATATCTTCTGTCCTCGCGTGGATTGGGTTTGCCTTGATTGCGTGGACGATTCGGGATGGAAGTAAATGGAGGGAGGACCAGGAGAGGAAGGAAGGTGTCAAGATGATGGTAGAGGAAGGGGTGAAGATAGAGAATGAAGGAAAAGGTGATAGAGAAACGGAGAAAGAAGGGAATGCCGAGCCAGAGAAGAAAGAAGAGGTGTGACCACACGCACGGTACCCCCCACCCTCAAGCATGCAAACCCCGCCATGTTACCTCCCCTCCATCCATTTGTATAATCATAATGACCTGCACGAGTATGATTAGACAAAAATGTATTTATATTTGAAACTAGAGCGTAGAATATGTTACCTGGTTGCCGACTTTCCTCCCCTCTACATGTCGGAGCTCTCGGAACAGTCTTGTCACCGACTGCCCACGAAGGCCCAGAAGAGTGGAAGGCACCAGCTGGTATGATAGGACAATCAATTCTGAGCGGAATATGGTCTGCCTCTGTGCTCAATATTCTTTGAATCCCTTCGATGTATCGCCGATCGCAGCTCGCAGGCTCCCGGTTCAAGTTTCTGGTTGTTCTTGGCATTAATACAGTATCACATGGCTTCTAATTCATTCATTTAAGTTCACTACAGATTAAACTACACTCGATTGCCTTTCTTTGATTACCAATGTACATTGACACCGTGCTCCTTTCCAGCCTTCACGAAGGCATCAAGGGCCTCACGAGCTTTCCCACTCTCCATGCTCTCCCTAGCCAAGCGTACACCATCCCTCCAGTTGGTCGCCTTTCCTGCAACTACAAGAAGCGCAGCAGCATTGAGAAGGATGTAATCGTGCACGGCCTCGGGGTCGTTAGTTCCGTCGCCAATCTCGACTTCAGGTGTTGAGCTGCACCATCCAGGTGTAAGCAGTGTGAGGAGCAGAGAAGCATTCGCATCGGGCGTGGAGGATTTCACTTCGACCAGGGAATGCGTCGGTATCCCGAAGTCGTGTAGCGGATGCAGGGTGAAGTTACGAATCACGCCATCTTCGAGCTGCCATGCCTGAATGTGGGGTGAGCAATGGGGCATTCGCTGATCGAATGGGCAACACGCACCCAGGATTCACCCGCAATACTTATCTCGTCTAGTCCCTCCTTCCCAGATACGACGAGCGCACGCTCTACGCCTAGTAATCTCAGCCCCTCCGCGAACGCAGGCCCTAGCGTGCGGTCCGCTACGCCAACTACCATACCCCTAGGATATCCAGGGTTCAACAGAGGCCCAAGCACATTGAAGATCGTCCTGAAGCCCAATGCTCGGCGGGTGGGTCCAATCGGCGCAAACGACGGGTGATATAAAGGTGCAAACAAGAATATGAATGGTGTTGTCGGAAGGATAGCCGGAATCTCAGTAGGTGGGATGTTGAGACTGCAGCCGAGTGACAGCAACAGGTCAGCTGAACCAGATGTGGAAGTCGCAGCCCGGTTTCCGTGCTATTAACAGCTCAGTCCCATGCATCTATTGATATAAATTACAACACGTGCCTTGGTAACTCGGGCTCCGGCTCCAGCAGCAACAATGGCCGCTGCGGTGCTAACATTGAACGTATCGTGCCCATCTCCTCCCGTCCCGACAATGTCCACCGAGAACTCATTCGATATCCCGCTCATGTCCAATTTGATCGCATGCTCCCTCATTGATTTCGCGCATGCAGCGATAATATCAGGCTTGTCCTCCTTATTCTGTAACTTGAGTGCTGTAAGAAACGCCGCTGCCTGAGCTGGGCTGCAGCCATCCTCGATTGCCAGGTGGTTTGTTGCTTCGTATGCCTGCTCCGCACCGAACGCATCCGGGTCGCTCATCAACAGCTGGAGCAGAGGTTTGAACGTCTCTGGTGTCCGTGCTTGGGATTTTGACATGGTGGTAAAGAATATGGTTATGTGGGTGAATCCGGAGGGAATGGACGGAACTTGGCTTTGGGTGAACATTCAAACAACAATCTCCGAGCCGACTCCGAGTAAGGGTCCTCCGGAATACCGAAGCTTCGCGATGCAACAAGTAAGCGTTGTATGAAGAGCTTTGTAATGGCACACAGAGCGTACACCACCACAGAAATAACCAGCAGATGCAGTTTGCCCGTGTAAAAGCAAATTTGCATTCTCACATATCTCGAAGGTCGACATTGCTTACCGTGTATCCTACATCAGACGTTTATCCTCGGAATAAATACATAAAGGTGCTCATGCCTCCACCTGACGAACCCGCATCATCAGGCTGCCTAGCTCCTGTCCAATCGTCTGCGGACGGCGGAGGAATCCGCGATGAGCTTTCACATTCTGGCCCGTATGATCGGAGGGCTCGAACGCAAACTTCCTCATGAGTACGGCGAGAACAGCCTGGCCAACTTTGTAAGAATGACGAGTTCAACAAATTAGAATAATCATTTGTACCTTGAATTCGAGGACAGCGAACTGTTTGCCGATACAGTATCTCGGCCCGTCGGTGAACGTTAGAAGGTGGTGATATCCCTGTATTTCCTCAGCAAGCACTGGTAAGTTGCCTTTCAGCCATCGGTCGGGATCGAATTCATGAGCAGTTGATCCCCAGATATGGACTGACGTGTTGACAGCTTCAATGCCGATGGTGAGACTCTGTCCTGCCGTGATCTCGATTGAATCGACGACGTCGCCGTCTTTCGTTATCACCGACTCGTAGAGGGGAATAATGTCATCCTCAACGGCGTATCGTGCATGGTCCGGGACAGGCGCATGGGTACGAAGCGTTTCGCGACAGACAGCTTCTAACAAGTGCATCTGGTGCAAAAGCTGATCGTATGTTGGATCAGGGAATTGGGAAAGTTCCTCGCGCATCCTTCGTTGCAGTTCCGGTCGCATAGAGAGTTCATGCAGGCACCACTAAATAATGCGATAGTTAGGAGAAGAAGACTGGCTCAACAACGGGTGGCCCTTACACTAAGACTGTCTAGGTTCAAGGCGTTGGATCCCGAGAAATAAAGTGAAAGGAAAAACAACGTACTCGCCGTGGTCTCGTACCCTGCCAAGATCAGGGTGTTCATCTTATGAGGATGTAAGGAAGAGTCAACTTTGCCCAAGTAAGATCATTACCTGTGCGGAGAGCTCGACATCTGTTATTGTCCTCCCTTCCGACTTTACTGTATTATATTCAGACGTCAGGAGAATGCTTTACGATGGGCCCACGCACAAAGAGGGCCAAGCATTGAAAAGTGGTCGTGGGTCTCCAATTTTTCCTCTTTCACTTTGGCGAGCACCTTCCTTACAACATCGCTCATCGAGTCATTCAATGCTGTAAAGAGCTTATTCCGTGGTGAGGGGATGTTGAGGACTTGAGGTACGGTTTGGATTAGGAGGAAAGTGAGGGCGGAAAGGAAGTCGACCTTCTTCGTGCCAAAAGTGGCGAGCACATCCACCACAGGTGGCCGCTCTCCTCGCAAAGTGCCAAAATCGTACGAAAATCCGGTAAGTCCAATAGTATCCTGCTGGTATTCAGCATGTGCAAGAACTTCACAAAGACTCGCTCGTACCAAAGTAATAGAATTCATCCTTCGAGGGTCGCATCACTCAAATGTCCAGGCTTAGAGAGCATAGTGCGTACCAGTGTTGTACATCAATGATCGCTTCGGGGTCCTTGTGATCAGCGAGGAGCGAATTCCATGCCTCTTCAACCTGAATTACATCACTTAGACGTTGGACAGCCGTCAGGCATAAGTCATGCAACTTGCCTTGTGCGCGGAATCATAAAATGTGGGAACAAACTGTTTCAATGCCTGAGGAGTGAATCCCGGGTTCAAGGCCTTTCTCAGCCGCTTGTGATCATCGCCTATATTCATCATCAGAAACTGAACCTCATGTTTTGATATAGTTCGACTACCTTCCGCGCTGAGGATACCCTCACCCAGAAGCTTCTTCGTTGCCAAACGCAAGCCTTCAGGCCTCCTATAGTGGTACGAATTTGTTGTCAACACATGAGCGATAGCGCGTGGATCAGTCAATATAAGGCGGTGTGTCTGTGAGTGGTTCAGCGAGAGTAAGGCAGTCCAGACAAGAAAAAAGTACCCCTAGTTCCGAAGGGAGCATGAAGCAAGCGCCATACTCTTTCGCCCATTTTTCAAACCACGGTCCACTTGTTGTAACCATCAATTCGCGGTTGTAGCCCAAGATCCAACTCTTCCTTGGAGGACCCCTGAGTCTAGTCATGCGCCCCTTCACCAATACACGGCGGTAGATCACGACCACTAGCCATGCCACAATGCCAAGGGCCGCAATATCCAAGAAACGCATGTTGAACAGTGCAGACATGGTGAGAATAGATCGTAGCCGTGCGCAGGGGGTAAGGAGAGACTGATCTCAGCTGTTTTATGGGCGAACTGGTGCAAATCCATGGACAGCGACATGGACACCGGGGGCCGTTAGAAACGCCAGCACCTCCAAATATCACAAAGAACTGAGCTTTGCCGGCGGACCACATCACATGAAGAGGCTAGTCAGGGCACGTCCCAAAAAAGAAATCGTACGTCAGCGTGCATGTGGCGCGAATGAGGGCCCTGGTGGCAGAAGCTTTCAAGGTCGCTATCTTGGGAAGTCGAACGAAGATGCGGCGCCCGATGACAAGGACGATGGCCCGGAGATGTCCTACTTTCCTCGTTACCTCTATCAGGATGTGCACAGAAGCATCGGAAGAGAGTCACTGAGCGACAGACAGTGAGACTAGCCCCGAAGGTGCGAATCATACGATGTGACACCAAGTCCGGGCAAGATCCATACGAGCTTTGGGCAAGGAGCTCATGATTTCGGGAAAGCTGTGAGCCATAGTATGTGAGGCAAGTAAACCAGTCCGTTATAAACGAAGTTATCAAAGCAGTACCAACACGTCAAGGAGGTGAGGAACAAACGGCGACGGTTGGCGGAGTAAACGCGCGGCTAATCTGCGTCCGTCGGGACTTACGTAATCTAATATTCCAAGCGTCAAGTGAGTTCGCGGCGACAAGGCATCTCGAGTACCTGTGCACTCTTTCGAACAATTCTCTTAATGTCCTTTATAACACAATGATTGGCTCGGTAGTTGAAAGGAAGCGGTCGTCAAACCCACCGTCAGTGCCTGGCCCATTTCCAGCCCCCGACCCATCCACTGGGTATCCGACAGTGACACATCGTTCCAAAGCGACTCGCGGCACAAGTGCATTTGCAAAGAGCAGGAAGGACAATGTAACACAACCAGATCATGTGACGGCCATACTGTCAACTGTTTCACCCACCATGAAATGGGAGCCAACAGAGGACGACGAGGAGCACCTTCCAGCGCCGATATCAGGTCCGGAGCCTGTTGTTGCACAAGCCCAAAACATGTCAAAGCTACTGCAAGAGGTGGGAGAAGAGAACGACAGACGTATAGCGGGGATGACCGAGGAGGAGAGAATGGCTGAAAGGGATGATCTCTTGCAGAAGTTTGGTGGTGGTGTTGGGGAGATGCTGAGGCTCAGGAGGCTGAAACGAGAGGGCAAGGCTGCCAATCGTAATGGTCACCCAGGCCATGTGGACATCCAATCTCCTATTCCCCGGACTCTGCGAATCGCCCCTCTTGGCGTCAACAAGGGCAATGCGATGGGTATAGACACTGCTGTCAGCATGTTGCCCGATGACTCACCGAAGTCAGCCGATGCCATGGAGCCTCCCAAAACCCCTGTGTCGCGTGCTGAGCTACTGGAAGGTATGCTCTGTTTTCTGTTGCTCTCACATATAATTAAAAAGAAATTCAGATCTCAATCGTCCGAGAAGTGCAATGCGAGGCTCTACCGCACACTCTGACACTTCGTCTACGATCCGCCGATTACGGTTTGCCGATGTCACACCCTCAGACATTCATGTCTATCCATCCCAACCAACCTCACCTAGAGCAGTTCACATGCTTCTAGCTCCTCCAGATGACGGGGCAGCGGATGGTATCCCAGTGACACAACTGAAGTTCCGGTCATTGCGTCCCGAAACAATACACAAGCGTGGCGATGGCCCTGCTGTTTGGTTAGCTCAGGAACAACCTTCGGAGCTGTCTTCTTCCATGGATGCTTCCATGGATATGGATGCATTGGAGGAAGGAACACCAGAAGACATCAGACACCGTTTTTTCCCGAATGAAGACGCGGCTCAGCTAGGTCTTGAGTGGATCACCGCTCCTTCCGCCACAGAACAATCATCCGATGCACCGAGATTTGATCTCCAAGGAATGCCTATACCTCGATCCCTGCAAACAACACTACCTACACATCTCGGTTTGCATCATACGTCATCTTCCTTGGCCGGGTATACCCTTGACGACTTGTTATATCTGTCGAGATCAACAAATGCTGCGCAACGTGCAACTGTCCTTGGTGTATTGGCAAAGATTATTTTGCGCATAAGACAGGGACATATCTCCTCGGATATGCTAGGACCTGAATCACGAGAGCGGATATTGAAATCTGGCATAGCCGCTCTCGGAGAGAAAGGAAGCGTCGGCGCCCGTGCGGTGGAAGTAGTGTGGGAAGCAGTGGTAGGAGGGGACGAATCTTACATGCTCCAGGAAGGAGTTGAACTCTGGGGTGAAGAAAAGCGCAAGGTTTCTTCAGAATCGCAGGACGATGAACCGCCTTCCCTAATTCCTGGATTGGATGCGATTTCTTCTATACCTCTCGAAGAGGTGCTTCCGCTTATACAGTCGTATTTTACGGTGCCGCCTTCATTCCCTGCCGTCACCTTATCACAATTGCTTGGTATTCTACATCGCCTAACATCACATTACGAAGCACACGCGTCAGCGATTATCAAAGCCCCTCACTTCCTTGCATCTATTCTTTCAGCTTGGCTGGCTTACAAGCCCTCGGACTTCCCCGGAGAATCGGCTCAAGACCCGAAGCTCCTACAATTGCTGTCTGTCGTAGCTGCTTCGTCCCGTTCAAATGGAGAGGCATTGGCCGTGGACGTGCCAAACACGCTCCTTCGTTTTATCGCCCAAATGCCTCAAACGTCGCAGTCAGTTGAAGAGCGCGAGTTGCGCGAGAGCCTGATGGCCGAGACCCTTCATTTCTACGCAACCCTTGGACGATATGGATTAGGTTGCAAGGTCGCCCTTATCGCACAAGAGCTCATGTCCCTTCTCGTCAAATATATCGCCAAAACTTTGTCCGAAGGTGACATCACTCCGAGCTTTGCGCGTTTGGCAGAAGCGTTCTTTGAAGTACGGGAAATTTGGACGACCTGTGCTATCGATCCACACAAGACCAGCCCACCCCATGAGCTCATCTGGTCCCAAATCGAAGCATTCGGTTGGGTGGACGACCTCCTACAAATTGCTGTGCATGTTCCGGCAGAACAGGATACTGTGTGGGCTGGGCTGTGGAGCGCGACGGCAGCTTATGCGGAAGGTGCGATCATCAATGGAGTTAACAAGGGCCAGGATGAGAGGAAGAAAGTGTTAGAAGGACTACGAGAGCTCACCCAGGACGGGAACGGCCGAGTGGCTATCGACTCTGCTCTAGAAGATCTGCAGAACTGCTTAGACATGTATGATGGCATTGGTAAACCCAAGTACCTCGAGTCACTTGGTGACGTAGCTCGGTCAGCTAGGCTGCTTGGCGCAGCGATCCGTCTCTCTTCGTCTCTTATCACCTCAGCTACCTCAACATCCGATCCGCTTGGGTTGCCCGGGGCCTCGATCTCTCGTCTCATGGATAATCTGCTCAACACGACAATCCTGCACGACGCGCTCGACATCACCGCTCCTCCCGGTGCTTACGTACATCTTCGACCGTTGACAACGCTTCTCATGAACGAACTCAAGCTGTCACATCGTTTGGGGACGATGTCGATGGAGAGCTGGTCTACACGAGCTCTTAGGATTCTGCGCCATCTACTGCCGGGAGACGAAGCCTACGCCCATTGGATCTTCCAGACCTTCGTCGCCGGTGCGAAAGATTTGGCGGATAGCATGGACATTGCCATTGATGATTCAATCATCAATCAAAGATGTCTGGAGGATGTCCTGCCCTTCTATATGCACGCTATCCGGCCCGATCACAAGTATAGTGTCGCATCGTTCACCTCTGATCCTCAATCACTCCCACTTTGGACAAGAATTACGCTTCCCTCCCTCGCGGCGTTGCACAAGCCCCGAACTTCGACGCTTAAAGCACCTGTCGGCCTGCCTCTGAAGCATGACTACCTCTTCCAGCCCTTGTCTGACCTGCTTCGCTCCGCTACCACGACGGCGTTTGAGAGCTTCCCTGTGTCATGGAACGCCTCAGAGACAGAGGTGACGCGCGCCACGCTTTTTGGAGCGGAGATGTACCAGACGCTTCTGCTTGAGACGCACCCTCTTGAGGCGCTAAGGAGGGAGGAAATCGTTTTTGGATGTATGAGGGTGGTGATGCTTGAGCATGGGCAGCCGCAGGGGGACTCGAGCGAGGACGTCTTCCGCGACGCAGTCGTTTCGGGGCAGATGAAGCGCCTTCTAGAACCTTTCCTGATATCACCTTCTTCACCTGCCCTCGCATCATACAACATTTCCTCAACCCAGGAACCGTCACTCGAAGCAGCAGCGAAAGACTACCTCGGCTCCGGTGTGCCATTCTACCAATTCTACACTGACCTGCTAGCGCTATACGAGGCCATCTCCTTCGCAGACCCCGTGTTTAGCGCTCTCCTTCTCCCTCCTCTGAGCATGCCCTATCCACCAGACTATCGCCAACTGTTCTGGGGCGAGAACTCGGTAGCTCCGCGTATGGTACGTACGGAGGTTGGAGGAGTGCCAGCTGAGGGGCTGGGCGAATTTTTGTGGCCGGTTGAAGGGTCGACAGAGATGCTGGGACGGTATGTGAGGGCGTTGGTGGATGGGACGGTTGGCGGATTCCTAAGGGTCGTTGCGAGGCATCATGTTGCTTGCAGCATCTGGCTTTCTCCCGCTCCCGTCGCATCTGATAACCCTACTCCGGCGACTCACGCAAGCCCCAACACTCGGTCCACACCTCCTGAAGGAGGCGAGACGCGCCGTCGACACCTTCTCCTTGCGCTCCTCCGCTCGGGAAAGAAGCAAGTCGTCGCTGATATCCTGACTTATCAACCAGAAGTGCTATGTGAGGGGGCGCCGATGACTGGCAGAGAAGAAAGGCTAGCATGGGTCAGAAGTTGGGGAGGGCAGGATGTGGTTTCCAGGCTGGACGCGAGCCTGAGCTGACACGATGGTGCTTGAAGTCATAATGAGTAATATAGAGGAATAAACGCTGATGGTCAAACCATGGGACACCCTGCCGTAATCTCGATAGATAGACTCCCTCTCCCCGAAATAGGAAGCAAGAAGATCAAACGCGGGGCAAGTGGGGGGCCAAGCCAACGCCCCTATGACGCCACTCAGAAGAAACATGTGTGAATCACGCGCTGGCACCCTTCCGCTGTCGAATGTGTGGGAACGTGGGGGGAATTCAGACTCCGCTCAAGGGAATCCCAGGTGACTCGGTGCTGTGCGTCAGTTGGTCACCCCTTGGTCCGCGAGGACACTCTGTTGTATACCACCACCACCTTCTGGATTACCTCTCACTCCCTTGTCCACAACATTAAAACTGGGAAATCATCACCTATCCACTTAACTGTATTCCCGACTCTGTATACCAATTTGATGACATGGCTTTTGTACCACAAGACACAGACATGTTGCACCTCCCGCTCAGTACTGCTATTGCTGAAGAGCAATCTGATTTATCTCTCGAAATCTCGACATCTGATTCTGGACCTGGATTCGATTGGTGGGCTCGCTCGACTTCACAGCCGCCAAGAGGGACACAGGGGATTAAGACCTCTGCTTCGTTGGGCAATGCGGGCTTTGCAAGCTACAGGGACGTGAAGGAACAGCAGGAAGGAATTGGGAATGGTTTCGCACCCGGATCACGAGCTGGAGGAGAAAGAGATGGAAAGCGGATTGTCACCTCCCCGATCGATATCGTCCCCCCTGTCCAAACACCTGTACGGCGGCCTCACCGACCGAGCACTTCAAGCGGCATTACTTCGCCTACTAACACAAACTCTTCTCCGGCATCACAGTTCCTCGCCGTGTTTTCTCCACCAAAGCCGACCAACGATGAAGACGGCCAGGTGGTAGGAGACTACACCCTTGGTCGTGTTATCGGCACTGGCGCGTTTTCCGAAGTTCGACGAGCGGTGAACAACCTAAAGGGCACCGTCGTCGCGGTCAAGGCGATTCGAAAGGGGCAAACTCCTTCCTCTGGGACAGGTGGATGTCAAGAACTCGCGGAAAGGGAGAGTGCACTCTGGTTCGGCTTGTCGCACGAAAATATTCTCCCGCTGTTTGCCACATTCGACACCCCTTACACCGTCTATCTCGTCATGCTATATTGCCCCGCCGGATCTCTTCTTCAGCTATTAAATGATACTCACCGGCCTGGAGCGGGATCAGGCTTACCCCAACCAGAAGCAGAAAGACTGTTCGCCCAGATCGTGTGTGGAGTCACATACCTCCACCGCACAGCACAGATCGTACATTCCGACCTCAAGCTGGAAAACGTCCTCCTCGACTCCGAGGGTCGATGCCGCATTGCCGATTTCGGTCTTGCTAGGCATATCGGTGATCCAGCTATGGAGCTCGCACATGCGGAGCAGGAGGGGGAGAGGAACGCAGCCGGTGGACTAGTGAGAGCTAGGACGTGGCAGGCGAGGCATTCGTCCCCCGCTCCGGGGAAGCGGCGACCACTAGCAGGAGGGAGGCAGACATTCCACCCCGGGTCGCTGGAATACGCTGCTCCTGAACTCCTACGTCCTGCACCTTCGTTCACTTCTGTATCGGCTTCCTCCTCCACTCCGCATAACCCGGAAGACGTCGCTAATCCCGCACAAGATATCTGGGCTCTCGGATGTATCCTCTTCGCCCTCCTCACCGGACTCTTACCGTTCACAGACTCCTTCCAGCCCAGGCTGCAAATGAAAATCGTACGCGGCACATGGTCTGTCCCAGCGGACATTGGCAGGCGCGCAGAAGAGCTCCTCAAAGGGTGCTTGTGCATGGACGTGCAGGAGCGGTGGGATGTCGGCGCTGTTGCGGAGTGCGCTTGGGTGAGGAGGTGGTGTGAGAAGGACATGGACGGAAGCCGGTCACCTCACGGAAGGACGGGGAGTAGGGGAAGGAGCGTGAGTCGGGACAGGACGTACGAGGGGAGCGCACGATCTCTCTCCGCGACTCGCAGGACATTCGGGCCTGTACAAGAGGAGGGACTGTCTCTGGCTCTTCTGCACACCGAAGTGTTTTCGAGCTCGTCATCGATACGCAGCCCGAGGTCACCTTCACATGACCGACACCACCCACATGTCCACGCTCATGCACACACCCACGCGCATACAAGGAGCGGGAGTCGTACCCGCCCTTGTGGCGACCGTTCCTACTCCGGGGATTCGGACACGCTCCCGCCCCTCTCACCTGCTAGTGGGTTCGTCCCCACGCCTGGCTCAGCTGAAGGGCCGAGGACGAGCGAGCGGTCACCCAGTTCTGGGACAGCCCCGGGAACGCCGAGGGATGGTCATCCTCCAAATTTGGTTTCCCAAGTAGGGGCGCTTCCAGTAGGGGGTGGGAGCAGAAGCAGGAGCAGAGGGAGGAGGAGGGTCCCAGGCATGGGGGGATTAGGAGTTTTGGAGGAACAGGGAACGGTGGAGCTGGAGATTGAGGAGGAGGCCGAGGACTGGGAGCCGAGGGGACGCCGAATGGGAAGAACTGTGAGGGAAGGTGGGCAACAACCGGCGTTTGGCTTGTCCGCAATGGTGCAGCGCGGGAAGGACAGAAAAGATGACACGGTGAAGGGAACAAAGAGCAGAAGATCCACATCGGCCTCGCGTGACCAGGTGGCTGAGAATATGGAAGAGCAGAGCGAGAGAAGGAGCCGTAGTTTGGGCCACGCACTGCGTAAGGAAGGCAAGCAGCCTGAGAAATGATACTGCACCCCTCAAATTTTCGTCGCTTACTGATTTTGGCAATATGTATTATAGCAACTTCACTCCGGCTGGTCTGTCTGTTGTTGTATTATGTAGCTTTAGTGGGGAGTCATTTATTGGTTACATATTTACGGATGGAATGAATTTTCTTGGGTTTTGAAAGTAAAAGGGCAATGATGAGCCTGTAAATCTACTTGGACTGGGCGTATGTCTCTTCCAGCCTGGACTTCACATACTCGCCAGCGGTGACGACCTCATACCTGGCCGGTCTGTCCTCGCTAACACAGCTGGGAAGCGCCTTCACGTTCATCAGCACTGCAAGCACACCTGGCAGAAACTTCAGCGCACCTCAAGCTTGACATCATAGTCCGTCCCAAAGAAGAACGGTATCGAGTACCTCTCCTGGCCCGTCCTGTTGATCGCCCTATGGACGGTGCTGACATACACATCATTCGTCCACCTGGCAAACTGGTCTCCTAAGTTGCACACGAATGTGCCCTCGATGGGTGGCGCAGAGACCCACTTGCCCGCAGCGTTGAGCACCTGCAGCGCGGGGACGATGTCTTGATAGAGCAGGGTGAAGCACTCGTAGTCAGTGTGTGCGCCGATCCCGAGGATACGGTCGTCGGTGGGGCCTGTCTGAGAGGGGTAGTGCAGAAGGCGCATAATCGCAGCGGGATGGAGTATCTTGTCGTCGAAGAAGTCTTCTGGGAGGGACAGGGACAGAGCGAACAGAGGGAAGAGCCGCCTGCCTAGGGATAGGACGGCATCATAGTACTCCATCACCTTTTCCTTGAATCCTGGTAGCTCGGTCTCGGGGGGCCAAACGTTGCCTCGCATCTCTCCCTGCTCAGATTCACTCCCGACATCGAATCCTTCGTGGAGATCGCCTCGGTTTGCGGGGTCTGAATTCTCCCCTAGCAAAGCGGTATACCCCTTGAACGCAGGGGAGAGATGGATATCCAATGCCTGCTTGGAAGTGAGGGGGAGGTCAAAAAATCGGTGTGCTTCATTCAGAGTTGCGTTGATCGTGGACTGAGGGATGCCATGATTCTTGACTGGTTGAGATTGGTTAGTGGGGAGGTGATAAGAGTGCATATTAGGAGGGCGCACTGTACAAAAACCCGACCTTGAGGCACGCCTCCCGGATCTTCTCCACAAGCAGCGTCCTGTTCTCCTGCGCCAGGTCTCTAATGAACTGTCAAGATAAGGATTAGAATGAGATGGGAAAAACGGACATGATTGGAATTGCTTCGAATGCGCTTGCGCCCTCGATGATCAACTCAGTCGGCGGTGGGAGAACGCGAGTGCCGTTGCCAGTACTGAGGAGTGTGGAAGCAACCATTTCTCTGTCAGTTCTAATACTCAAGATACCTTGATGGAAGTGCAGACGAAAGTAGTAGTGGTACAGATGTAATATATACGCAATTTGTGAAACCGAGGAATTGGATAGTATTACAATTGGTCGTAGATAACCGGCAAGAAGCTGCACATGGGCGGCTAAATTTCAAGGTCTTGCTGGAGATGGCTGTGTACTGTCTGCAGATTATCCGAGCCGCAGCTCCGTCATAGGGACGTTTGCCTGCTCCTCGACCACCAACGGAAGAAAGGTGCGGGCAGCTGCCCAGCACAGACGAAAGATGGTCCACTCACGCGTTACTATAACTTACACCGCACCTCGTGTTCTCGCATCGCATGAATCCTTCCCCCTACTCCTCACTGCGTTCAGGCAACACCTGCCCCTTCACAATCTTCATTGGAAGAGCGCGGCGCGCGCAACACTCAGGACGGTGCAGGAGCTCCAGATCGAACTGGTCCCGTTGGAAGAAGTCAAAGATGAGCAAGCTAGTCAAGTTCCAGTTAGCCTACTAGAGCGTCCATTGGGGAACTTGTTTTTTGTGCAATGTGACGTGCGCTCCTTCGTGTTGACCCACAGGCGTGTGCACTAAGGAGGATCATAGGACAACGACACATACAAGGCGACAGTACGAAAGCAGATCCGAGATTGGGTATCTATTGTATCCCAGAGGAGGAATCAGGACTACCTTGTCGTTCTTGTTGTGAGGCCTGAAGCGCGGCAGCAGGGGAATAAACTATTCCAGGGGATGAAGAGCACGATGCTGGACAGGCTCAAATCAGACTTTACTACAGGAAAGAAGGATCAGTGAGTCTCTATTCTACTTGTTCCGGCACAAGGAAAACGTGCTGATGAAGTTGAACTCAGTTGTACTCAACTCAACTGGTCCATGTCTCAGAATGAGCCCGCTGGTTGGGCAGACGTGATCACAAGGCTCAAAGAGCAGATCATTGCCTCTTTCGATGCTTCTGTCACCCTCCGAGAAGAAGAAGTACGGCGGAATGAGGCGCAGCGACATGTGCCTGGGTGGAACTTCTGCAATTTCGTCGTGCTAAAAGAGAGCTTGGCGCTGAGCTACGAGGGGATGAATCTACTCGAGGATGCCCTAGTGGTGTACGACGAGCTGGAGACATCGTTCTATCAGGTCCTGCGGGGTACGTCATCTATTTATACTCTTACCATGGCCTTCTAACACATATTTGGATGGACAGAGATGAATCTCTCCTGGTTTGGCAAGCTGGGCGGCCAAGATCCAGGGGACGATTCTCTCCCCCTCCTCTCCTTGTCCAAAAAGCCCTATCGCGACCTCATGCTTAATAATACAATCACGGTATTCGATTTCCGTTGCTACTTGCTAGCAAGGCAATGCAGTTTGCTCGGGCAGATGCTGAAGGTTACGAGGTTGGCGAGGAAAGCGCAAGGGTTTATTTCAGGGTTTGCATTGACATTGGAGGAACAGAGCAAGGTGCGCTGCCTTCACTGGTCTTCAGCACTGTGAGAGACTTACAAGAAGCGTAGGATACCTTCCCAGAATACTTCCTCGAATCCTGGCAATTTTCCTCTGCGCTCTCTGTTGTAGACCAGTGCCAGACCTGGGCGCGGAGCGTCACCCTCGACACTGCTGCTACGATTTCCCTGAATGGCGCACTCGCAGAATTGATCGAACTGGCTCGGAACCAGCTAGACCGGATCGGCCTGCATACAGGCCATCTACCGCCCATTGATCCCTACCTGGCGCTCTCAAAAGACGCACATAACGACAGCAGTGTACGGAGTGGGGAAGAAGAAGAGCGGGGAAAGAGGACGATAAGCAACGTTGAGCTTCTTGCAGCGATTAAGAAGAGGGAAAGCTTTGATCAGGTATATGTGAACACGACAAAGCGTGCGATCGAGTGTTGTGTGATTAGCAAACGAAAACGCTCAGCGTTGAGGTTGCATTTCTCCCTTGCTGTACTTGATGTGTATGTAACTCCCTCCCCTCGGCTTCATTCGTCGAAGTCTTTGACTGATTGTTGGTTTCAGCGTTCGTGGTCGTCCCGCTGCAGCTGCATCAGCGTACCGCTCTCTCCCACCCCACTATTCCCATTCCCTCTGGGCCTCTCTGGAGGCCCCTCTGCTCTCCCGCTCCATCGCGTGCATCGACCAGCTCCCAGAAGGAGAACAGAATCCGAGTGAGTGGGTAGCGGATGCATTGGGACTGATGAAGGCGTTAGTGGGGGTTGGTAAGCTGGGTGCGGGTAAGGTACTGGAGGGATTTTGGGCAAATGAAGTGCCGGTGGAAGCGGAAGAGGAAGCGGAAGAGGATATACCACAGAAAAAGGAGAAGTACTTCGCAAAGTTGGTGAAAAAACTGAGGGAAGTGGGAGGCAAGCTACATGAAGGTGAACTGTCTTTCTTAATGGTAGCGAAAAGGCTCACACACGGCAGAATTGCGGATAACTCACCATCCGGCGCTTGCACTCGTGTTGGAATCAAAGAACGCGCCCCCCGCAGAGGGACAGGATGGCTGTCATGTGGATGTTCTCATTGTCAATGCCCTTCCCTGTGTATGCCTTCCGGTTTCGGTGATTGTCTAAATCTGACTAATCGGTCCGCAGGAAATTCTCGTCGACGCGATCGAGGTCGTGCTCTCGGGAGTGAATGAGAGCAACAAAGCCATATTCCGGTTGGATGCTGCAGTCCTCCCTTCTGGGAGGACAACGTTTCGACTCTTCTCCCCTGTGAGTGATTTCTTCTACCAAGTGAACTTGCACTCAAACCTCGTCAGAGTCCTCATTCTGGGCTTTACATTCTAGATTCATCATCAATCATGCTCTCACACCTTACCTTCTATCAAGCTGCATCATCTTCTCTAGACAAAGTTCGCACAGTTAAGCTGCCTGCCGACCACGCATGTACGACTGTTCTAGCTAGCCCGCCTCGCATAAGTGAGCCTCTGGTATCGTTCCTATCAACAACAATTAACAGGCCTGCAGTGCATCTAGATCAATCGCCCCGTCTCATGCTCACTGTCGTAGCGGGACGGAACACCGTCAAGCGAGCGGCTTTTACGATCTCGGATCTCTCCAGAAACGTTAGTTTCCGCATTGCAAGCATAGAAACCGAAGGCACGAAAGAAGCGCAGGGGCATCTTGAGGTCTCCGCGGAAGAGATCCAGGTTACAGACCTACCCTCGTTTCAGGAGTTGGAGTTTATTGTTCCATATTACGGAGCTGATCGTGGAGCTGGTATTTCGGTGCGGAACACTGTACACCTGCTGTCAATCGGCTACTGACGCCACATAGCTACTCATTGAAGGAACCTACGTGACAAAAGATCAGCCAGAAGTCGTTCGCACATTACACGTCACTCGGCCAGTACGGGTGACCCTGCCAATGGCCGTGAATGTTCAGGACTTCTTTCGCGGTTCGAAGTAAGTATGCTAGGTCATGCGCTGAGAAGGGATCTCAGCATGAACAGTACTTTCTCAAAATTCAATGTTGCATCTGACGGACAGCAATATCTCCGTTTGCTCGGTGCGAAACTGGAAGGAACAACTGATCTATATAAAATTAAGATGTGCAGAAATTCTGCGTCTGGGCCTACTGTGAGCACTTAGTTTCTGTCGCGTGAGCGGGGCTTACCCCTTTTAAGGTTGTGTCACCCACACGTCAAGCCTCGTTCGTGTTCAAGCTAGAAGCAAAACGGACACCAGCTGTGAATGAATGTACATTACTTCACGTTACTTTGAGGGTACTGCAAACTGATATATCGTTTCAGCACGGGAGCCGCTTCGTGTTGTTATCAACTATCGTTCTTTATGGGACGGTGTGTCGTACCTTTGCAGATCAACTTTTTATCTAACAATATTGCAGAGATGTTCTGCATCGTGTCTCGCCATGTGAAGCACCTCGTCCACGATCTTGGCATTCAGGAGCACGGCGAGTGGCTCCGAGAACGCATCATGTCGAGGCTTGAGAGGGAAAACGAACAGATCGGACGATACTGCTTGACGGGTCAGCTTCATATCCGAGCATCGGCCGAAGAATGGTCTGAAGAGGTGGCAAGCTATGAGAGAGGGTCGACCTTAAAATCGCAGCTGTTGGAGGCCCTCCGCCAGATCGCCGAGGTGAGTGGTCTACGCAGTCCTTGAAATCATCGTCTAAGATGTTATCTTGAGTTAATTACCGCTGGCGCATCAGCGGTACCTGAAGACAGTCGCATTCGAATTCTATCAATACCTGTCGATGTTCCCGTCACTCAAGTAAGCAGGACCGTGATGAAAGCCTTGTAAAAATTCACAGTGCATAGATCTTGAACCGCGTACACATCGATATCCCCAAACATGTAAACGTATACGCGGGTCAGCCTGTACAAGCGACACTTCGCATATACTCCACGATCATACCCGAAGGATCTCTGTCCCAAAAGATGGGGTTTGATGTGCTCGCGGACTTTTCTACTTGGCTTGTTTCCGGTCAGAAGAGGGGAGAATTCGACGTTGATGTTGGTACCGTCCTTTCCTCATGGGTTGCGGTTCTGAATACGGTGGAACAGGACAATATCACCGTATCAATACCCCTAACACTAGTGCCAATGCGTCACGGCGCTCTATTCTTTCCACAAGTCTCCGTATACCCGATTAGCACAGAAGATACTCCAACCTTTAACGGCAGACCACCCGAGTTGCCAACTTCGGATACTTACCAAGCCAACGCAGCGGACACCATACTCGTGCTTAATCGAGTGGCGCGGACAACCTATATGCTCAACTTACCTACAGCACACCCGGAACAAACGACCGACCCTGCAGCTGCATAGGTATATTATCGCCCGAGCTGTTTGGCAGCCATGTGATGAAACCTAGTGTAGCGAAAACGTCATGGTTTGACTTTCGCATGGCGGCTTTTCCTGCTTCACTTTGTTCAGGATGTTTATCGATTGTGTATCAATATCATCATCAGCCTGGCTCATGAAACAGGTGAAAACATCGCCTTCATTGATTGGAGTGCTCATTTAAAGAGAGGATGAAGAGAAATGACTGAATTATTGACTTCGAGACAATCTTGTATAAACTGAACTTGATCCGGCCTGCGAGTGAAGCTGGAGCGCGTCTTTAGCTCCGGAAAGAGAAGGCGAGCCAATGCATGGGGAGCTTGATCAGACTGTGTTGGCGCCATCGACTTCATCGACCTGGCAAGATAATAAGTCCTTGGAGATGCGAGAACAACGGACGAGGTCAAACATACTTGTTATATTGATACCTTCAATTGATTTTGTTGCGTAGCTCGTTGTTTACTTCAAGCACCTTTTCTAGGCTTCGCTCCAGACGTGCGTCGCCGATTTTCTTTATCTCTTTCATTGCACGCTTGGTAAGCTCGTCAGCTCTCGAAAAATCACCCGTGGCGGAGGCTTGTAGCCCGGCCTTGATTGCATATGAGACCATTATTCGAGCTCGCACATCCACCAGTCCTTCTGCATCGCACATGTTGAGCGACTCGATGATGTGCGAATCGTTAAACCCAGGATGAATGCTCGCACTATTGGCTGGCAGCTGTTCAACACTTGCCAATCTTTCCTCCAGAGTAATACGACGTTCATCTGATTTTCGTTGTCGTTTGGCAGGAAGAGTGCAGGAAGGACAAGTACATTCGAACCCATACTTTTGCAAAAGTTCGGCTTTACGTTCCGAAGAAGGCATAAGCACGAGATGTAGCCAATTGTAATTTCTTCGCCTTTCTCGATTGGAACGAGGCTCTTCAGTATACCGACAAAGCGGTCGCTGACATAGATAACCTGACAATAATCACTGAATCGTTTTAAACGAACTCACTAGTTCCATTCCTAATAAGCATTCGGAATGCAGCTGTGATTGACACGGGAGATGTTGTCGTAGACTGCAATTTGACGCTCATGCTCGTCAAAAGGGAGCTGCGCCCCGATCCCATTGGTACGCATGATGCTGACAGCCTCAACCATGCCAGGTTCTTTAGGCTTGCAGTTGTGCAGCTGATAATATGTCTTCTTGTGTTCGGGTGTCAACCCTTTCTCGAGCATCATCGGGAAATTCGCCACCATGGTCCCGTCCAGCATTCCCACCGAGCAAATCAGGAGGGGTCGTTCAATTATGAAAGGAAGCCCTTGGGGAATGTTGCACGTTGCAATGAGCCCACGGCCCTTTCCAGGAATATTCACCACCGTCGTCGTCAAGCCGACCAGTGGCTTCAAAAAAGGACCGAGACAGTCGTTGAAAGTAGGGTGGTTTCGCAGGCATAGTCTGTTGTTCCCATAGGTAATACACAGGGTATCCCAGTCACCGTAAGCCCCACCAAAACCCAGTACTGCAAACTGTTCATCGTGACGACGGAGACGAGGATCATCGTACTTCAAGTTCAGACGTTGGGTTTGCACGCCCTGAAGACGAATGACCTCCTCTGGTTGAGCGACGTCTTCGAGGTGAAGCCGAACGGGAGGAGGATGATTGAGCCTTTGAGACATATTGTAGTAAGAAACGTTGGAGGCAACTAGGTATATGCAAATTTGTTGAGCTGGGTGGGAGCCTACTAGTGCGGGCGATGGTTGTCAGCTGTAACTAACATGCGGCCTTAAGGCGGGTGCAATCGTCGGAATTCCGTACTCTCGGTAACGGGTATTTATACCCCGGAGCTCTCCAGAGTAGACCTTCTCCAGGTTATGAGAGCAAACTTAATATATTACGTAGTGACTGTTTAACACATCAAATTCTGTATCTGAAGTGCGAAGTTTATATCCGAAAGCAAGTAACTGGGCTAGTGCTCTCGACTCAGTGACGTGCTATGTACTCGACTGGTATTACAAGATTAGACCATTCGGGGTCCTTGACTGCGGAGTTAGAAGGGCGACTGGAGGAAGATGCGTGATCGGGCTTGGGCTCAGTTAGGGCCATCGATTTGATTGCGCTGACAAAATGATGAGCTCTCCAGCCAGAGGAACAAAGCAAGGAATCAAAAGCGTACTTGACTATGTCGGCAATATTTTGCGAATTCAGTCTCGTTCCGGGTTTTGCTAGGAGCAAGCTCTGTAGGCCGACCACGAATTCTATAGCCCCAATCTTCTGTGTTTCTTCGATTGCACGGTGAGCAAGCGCTTCTGCTCGCGACCAGTCACCGGTGCGTATGGCTCGTAGCTTGATCTCCCAAACTGCATACCAGTACATCATTTCCGCTCGCGTATACACCAGGCCTTCTGTCTCGCACATGTTGAGCGATTCCATGATGTGCGAATCGTCAAACCCAGCATGAATGACCGCAGTATCGGCTCGCAGGGCGCGACCTCGGTTGATTCTATCTATGAGAGCGACACGTCGTTGATCGGATTCCTTCTGAAGACGAGGAGGAAGAGAGCAGGCAGGACAAGTGCATTCGAACCCATACTTTCGCAAAAGGTCGGCTTTACGTTCCGAAGCAGGCACGAGAAGTGAGGTGTAAGAAATTGTGATTTCTTCTCCTTTCTCAATTGGAACGAGCGGCCTCAATAGACCGCTGAAAACTTTGCTGTAGCAAGTTATTGAATGTGCAAAATTTTAGTCAAAATACTCACAAGTCCCACTCGAAATAAGCATTCGGAACGCAGCTATGGTTGGCACGTGATATAACATCGAAAACAGCTCGTTGGGATTCGGTGTCAAATGGGTAGTCGATTCCAAACCCATTAGTACGCATGATACTGATAGCCTCGATCATCCCAGGTTCTTTAGATTTGCAGTTATGCAACTGGTAATATTCTTTTTTGTGCTGGTCGGTTAGGCCTTGGTCGAGTAATTTGGTGAAATTCGCGATGAGATGACTGCTCAGGGACCCCCTGCAAATGAGGAGCGGACGTTCAAGTGCAAAAAGCCGTCCGGTTTCCAGAATGTCAACCGCTGCGACCAGCCCACGACCCTTACCCGGAATATCCACCACCTTCACAAAAACACGACCGGCATAGCGACGAAGAGGACCCATACTGCTCTCGAACATGGGGTGTTCTCGCAGGGGCAACCGGTTCTTCAACGCCGTAATGCACAACGTGTCCCAGTCTGTGTCGTGCTCTTTGCCTCCAAATCCCAGGAACGCTGTCTCAAGAAGTTCGGGGGGAGGGCCAGCACTATCATGTGGCACTCGTACCATGGGAAGTCCTTGGAAGAGGGAGACTTCATCGAGCTGAGACGGTTCGTCCAGTTCTATCGGCTTGAGAGGGGGATGGTTGTGGGCACGAGAGGGCATGTCGAAGAGAGAAGCAAAAGGTACTCGTATGGTTGACAGTACGGGTCAGGATGAGTGAGTGCTGGTGGCAACCTGGTGGCGACACGGCGGGTGCAGTCAGTCACAAATGCCGACGGATGCAATCCAGATATTCGGAGGATCAACTTACGTAACGTCGGAGCGCCTAAGTGCTCAAATTGATCAGAGTTAACCACCAGTCCAACAGCTGAGCGTAAGAATGACTGCAGTAGCCGCTTGTCCAGTGTGTTAACAGAGTCAAGTCAAGTCCAACTTCGATTGTCTGCCTGTGGTCAAAAACAGCATACACTCAACCTGAAAAGACCTGATATCGCCAATTAGCGATGTTGGCAAATTCACAATTTGATAGTATTTCTCACACTGCTAATAATGTGATAGCTGCATTAAGGCCCAATCACTGCGACAGCTTCGAATCCAAATACTGAGAGTCAAAACAGTCTGTCCGAAAATAGACCAAGTCACGTGCATCCTGCAAAATTCTGATATAGCATGTATGCGTATATTTTCATAGATAAATTACATACAGAAGCTTCCCATATGAAAGAGTGTAGGTATTACGCATATTTTCTGAGTGGGTCTGAGTAGTTGTGTAATGATCCACTCCCATTCGCAGTCACATGGTCTCCGATCCTCACTGAGCCAACACAGGCGCATCCACTACGCCAGTAAGGCCAGCCTTTTGCCTCACTTCCTCTGCTCGCCTCCCACATTCTTCGAGCCATTCAACTGCTCGTTGAGCAACACGCTCAATCTCTTCCCAGTTCTTCACCTCTGATGCGCGTTCGTCAACGGCTTGACGGAACCGTTCACGCAGGTCCCAAGCAGCTAAACGCATCACCTTACGGGTCTCCTTGGAGATACGATGGGCATGCGCAGGAGCGAAGGACATCTGCTCTGGTGACGATGTGGAAGCTACCTGGCTGGAACCAGGCTCGTTGGCGGTCAAAATAGTCTTGATATGCCTGCCGACTGTACGCGGGATGGTGTTGGGCAACTCATAGATGAAGTATAGCGACAGGCCGAGAGCAAGCGCACCAGCCAGGGGTGCAGCCCATTTGCGGGTCGCGGCGTTGCCGAAGAGGTCGCCGATGCGGACGAGGCCTTCGAGCAGCCCACGAGCACCGAGAGTCTTCCCGCCGACCATAGTGACCGCACCGACGCCAACGGAGAGCATGCTGATTGCGCTGGTGGAAATATCCGATTCTTCGTGCAAAGGGCTCTTACCGTCTTGCGAGCCAATCAAAGCGAAGCGCATGAGATAATGCCGCATATCGATGATGTCGCGGAATTCGACATCAAGAGCACTTGGTTGGGCAGCTAGACCAATACCCAGGCCGTAGGCACCGCCGACAACAACCGTGTTCAGTGAGCTCCGACGCTTATGGTGCCCAGGGCGAACAACGAACATGGCTTCGGGCTTGAAAATACGCTTGGACCGTTCGACGCCGACCGGGAGGTGTGCATCTCCGAGGGTGCCAACCTTGGTGACACCTTGAACTGCGATGAGACGTGCGTCGCTTTCGGCTGCTTTGACAGCCTCGTCGATGCTCTGCAAGAGAGCCTTCTTGACTTCGCGGGTGTATTGCCAAAGTTGGAGCATGCCAGGGAAGCGTGGCATGGACACAATTTCGGGCATGGCACTCTGACCCTTGCCGACTAGTTCCAATGCCTTCTCCAATCTGTCTTTTGCCTTGTCGCCAGCCTCTCCGCTCATACTGTCTTCCACGCCGGCGAGTGCTTCATCTAAGTCTTCGCGACCGGCGAGCATCTTCTCCAGGATCGGCCGGGCACGCGCCAGGTCATCCTGAGCCTGCTTCAACTCAGCAGACGCGGCGAGAGCATTGGCAGAGGTGAGCAGATCCAGGTCGGACAGGATCTTGTTCAGGAACGTGATCGCGGGGAGCAGTTTCGACTTTTCACGTTTCTGCAGGACGAAAGAGCGCAGAGAGTGCTCAAGAGTCTGGAAGGAGTCAGAAATTTCACCCGTTTCGACCACAGAGGCGGAATCGACGAAATGGACGAGATCTGCGGCATCCTCCCAAGTGCGCGGGGAAAGCTGGCGGATCTGGTCGAGCACAAGACGCTTGCAACGCGCCTTGTCGCGGATCTGATCAAAGCGGTTGACGACGATGAACAAGTACGCTTTCTCGTTGCTGGCGTTCCACAGGAACTCCTTGGCGGACAGAGTGAAATGATTCTCAGCGCTGACGACGAAGACAACGACGTCGATCTCCTCTTGGCGGGCGAAAAGGGCTGTGGTCTTCAAGCTGTCGCGGTTGAGACCGGGAGCATCAATGAGCGAGATGTTCACGGTGCCGTTGTTGACCAGGGACGATTGTGGGTCGCGAGGGTCGTTGACGTAGAGCTTCAAGATGCGTTCAGCATCGGATTCAGTGACGATCTCTTCGAGCTCATTGAGGGGGTGGCGCGTGAAAGTGCTCTCGTCTGCATGGTTGTACGTGCAGCCTTCTTTCACCACATGTGCTTCCTCAGCTCCATCATTGTCAGCCGCATCATGCACCTCGCAGAACATGGTTGTGCAGGGCTGCTGATCGACAGGCATCACCTCGCGACGCAGCAGGGCATTGACGAAGGTACTCTTGCCAGCGTTGAGATCACCAGTGACGAGAACTTTGCTCGAGGTGTCTTGCACACGAGCACGCAACTTGGACAGGTGGACGAGGCTCGTGGCGATACGTTCAGATAGAAGGGAAGCGATGGACGATTTTTCCAGCTGACTGACAAGCGTGGGGCCGGAGGTGGTGGTGCCGTGGGGACCAAGCTTGAGGTCGAGCCGGAGCACATGGAAGTCGCCGTCGGACTTAGTCACCAATCCATCCGTCTCATTAGCTGAAACCTGGTCGGCAGCTGGTACGTCGCTCGCAACTTCGGCATCAGCGGTGGTGAGCGTGCGCCTCAAGCGACCTTCGGTAGGCGGTGTGAGAACGACTTCCGTGGATGTCGTCGGATCATCGGCAAAAGACAGCGAGCGGCGCGCATTGCTGGGACGCTCGGAAGATGGCTTCAAATGCGGGTAGCGCACAACCCAAGAAGCCTTGTTGAACTCGCGAAGGTCGGTCAGGATTGAGGAGGTTGCATCGAGAGCGCTTGTGAGGCTGCAAATGGCATATGAGGGCATTCATGCGAATCTGAGGAAATACCACGTACCGATCACGATGTTCCTGGTATTGCTGCACATCATCTACCTTCTCCCTTGAAGCATCGAGGTCATGTACCTCCCCTTCACGCATAGGGGTCGCCAGAGGGGTGATATTCTCGAGAGAGTCGGTAGGGCGCAGAGGACGATAAGTGGGGAAGTAAGATTGGGACATGTTTGTCCGAGTCGTTATAACGAAGTTGGAGTTGAGTGACGTCAAGCAGGTAAAAAGACAAGCAAAGCAGTGAGTATACTGAGGGGCGTAAGGCTGGCGATGGTGTCTATGCTGCCAGCAGTGAGGTGAACGTCGAGCTCGACGTGCACGACGATGATGAGGAGAGCGAAACTGGTGATGAAAGTACTGGTAACAACCAGGGCGGGTCGGAGCGGGCGGGTCGGAGTCTGAAAATGCTTCCAGGAGAATGATCCCGTTTTTCCATTGCGGGACGCGCCGGATCAGTCAAAGGCACGTGCACCCCGACGTGTTTGACGTCTTCTAGTGACGAGTCTCGGTGAACTGCATATAATCTGCTTATTGCTACAGACCTACTCAATGTGCGAGATATTGAATAACACACCGCAAGGATTACTCTGCTTGGGAGACACTTTCCTGGTGCGAGCAGACTGGCCCTCACATGATTGTGTGGATTAATTACGTGGGATGCAGGATTAGTGTGGAGAGGATCCTTTCCCTTATCGAGTCGGTGTACCATTCTTCCGCACTGTTGGCTGATAATGGTGATTCCTGATCAATCTCGAACCAGAGGCTCCAAGGATTGGTCAACCTAAATGTCCTTTCGGCAGGATTCGACAAGGGAAGTGGCTGTCACTGAATGGGGACTAAGATCGATCGACATGGCACCTACTTGGACTTCTCTCTCCAGTTTACGACTCATCATTCTAGTGGTGAACTGTGCCTGCCAACTGCGATAAATGCCAGACCTGTGACTCACCTTCCCTGTCATGACACAAGTTTCACTTTCCTCCGAAATACCCCTTGCTTCCCACCAAACTCCAAATATCCGTCACCCTCTCTGAGTCGCTGCAATGCTTTCGCATGGTCGTTTACTCCTTTTCGGACTGCTTTCAGCACTCCTAGGTATCCGCTATCTTTGGGACGAAAGTATCGCTATCCCACCCCCGATATTCCCTCCGGGCTGGACGACATTTCCTCACGTCTCGAAATGGGAGAAGGACAGGGCAGTCAGTACCCTGCAGTAACGCGATCGAGCTATCGTACAAAAGACACTTGGAGTCTCGCATCGTGAATGCTCTCCGTACGGAACAACGTGGTGGATATATATGGTTGATGAACCCGATTAACTTACCAGGCCTAGGAAACAACGCGAACTTCGGGCAGATTTGTAATGCTTAGATGATATGAACTCGATCGCGCTCCCACAGAAAATGAGTTGCTGATGAGTTTGTCAGTTCGAATAAATAGCTCAATCGTTGTGGACGACAACGCGTCACTCGACCGACGCGTCTCCACGCAACCCTTCTCTCCATCCCCGCGAACCAATTTGAGTTCAGCCCAACGTTCCTTTCTTCCCACCACCCCGCCCACCCGCTTGCAACGACGAGAACGCACTAGCTATGACGACGAGGGGGAGCAAAAGTGCCTATTACCCAAGTCGTGCGAGGACTGTGCTTCGTTGAGCGGGTTGCTTAATCGTATGACTGCTTCTGGCGACAGTCGACAGTACCTGGCTATCTCTTAGCGACTAGCAGCGCAGGACTGCTCCTTCACATGGCTACAATTCCCCGCCAGGCCAGTTCCAAATCCTATAAATCCCTGTCCATCCAGACGGCAGAAACCCAGGCTTGCCTCCCACTCCAGTCCAGTCCAGTCCCGCGCCGGTCGCCCCTGTCCCACACCACCCACCTTCCCCAGCTGCACAAGCCCACTCAACACAGTACACAGTAAACAGTTTGTCAATGCTCGCCTTCTCCATCACCCACTTCCTCCTCGTCATCCCAGCGTTGGCCGCTCCAGCCTGCATCCCCTCCTCCCCCCCTGCGCCGACAGGAGCCGCCCTCGCCACCTCCACGACCGGAGGGGTAGACCCAGCCCTCGTACCGGACTTTGGCGCCAATCCGAATCCTAATCCTGATGGACACGGGAACTGTGATGGAGCGGTGAAGGATGTTACTGGGAAGTTTATCCTTGGTGCGTCCGCGCGCACCCCCGCAGCCGTGCCCAGGCTTCTGCATGCGGATACTGATGCTGATGCTGATGGTACCGGGTAGTACCGTGCGACTGCCCCCCTCCTAGGGATCTGTTCATCACCGACCTAAGCGCGAACGTCGCAGCCGGACACTGTATAAACAACACAGCAGTATCTCTTTCCTTCCCCACAAGCAGTAGCAAAGCGGACCAAATCACGAGGTCGCAGGGTGCGTTCCCCCCCTCCCTTCCTTCCTTTTCTGTCTCCTGATGCACGGGTACTGACTGCGTATGTAGCGCTGCTCGACACCCTCCAGAACCTGCGTGGGGCTGGAGTAGGCTGTCCGGCCGTATCGACAACATTCGGTGTCCAGCTCCAGCAGCTGACCGGCTGAGCTGCTTTCCTACAGTACCAGTACCAGTACCAGTGTAGTCCCCAACCTCCCTCGATCACTGTTCTCGCTTGGTGTACGACCGAGCGTGGGCACCCGCATAGGAGATTACAGAATAGATGACATCCTTGAGGGATCGATACATGCTTCAGTTTCTACAGATATCCCTTCCCCGTCCTCTGGACAAGGGGCATTACACTCCAGCCCAAGCCGGTACGATACATACGCATACATCTACCTTCCACCATCAATACAACGCGGCAACTGTACGCTCCACATTCGACTCCTTGCTTCCTCTCCTCCTCCCCTCCCCTAACTCAGCGAACCACTCAAGCTGAAGACCACAGGCTACAAGCCCTCATCGTACAGCTTCCTACTGAGGGCGACATAAAACCGTTCCATATCGAACGCAGGGAGCTTTCTCCATTCTTCCTGTTGCGCTCTGCCTTGGGACGCTTGTGTCGCTTTCGTGTTCGTGTTCGTGGTTAGGGTAGTATGGGCGACCCTGGTGGTATTCGGGCGGGAGCTTGCGGCAGGCGCAGGAAGAGGGATCGGCTCGTCCCCAGACGGCGAGCCAGAACCCATGTGCTCGAGCCCACTCCCATTCCCACCCCCGTCAACCACCAACCCCTTCTCACTCCCCCCACCGCCCAACCCCAACCCGCCCTCAGTAACCCACTCCAAAACCCGTCCAAACCTCTCCACCGCCCCCCTCTCCTCCCTCTCCATCCGTCCCTGACTCTCTAGCGCGAGCGCTTCTTCTCGCAGCTCGTGCGCGCGGGAGAGGAGCTCGGCTCGATTCTGTTGCAGCGTGTGGGTGAGTCGGTGAGCAAGGGCGTGGGCATGTCTCTCCTTGTTGGCATTGGCATTGTTGCTGTTGCTGTTGCCAGTGGTGGAAGCGTCGCTGGCGCGGGTACCGCGCCCCTTCCCCTCTTCCCCCTTCCCCCAGATCTCCCAAGCTCTCACAAGCCCCCTAGTGCCCCTAACCTCCCAATGATCACAATCCTCCAGACTCCCCAAGTACTCTCCCCATTTCGCACTCTTCACGCCCACCAAGCCATCGTTTCCCTCATCTCCGTCAGGCGTAAGAGAGGCAGCGGCGTCCATCAGCAGCTTGGGGAGCCAGAGAGGATGCAAAATCGATAGTTGGCCTACTCGAGCAGCGATGGAGAAGTACTTGACTTGAGGCGAGTCGGGCGTAGAGGGGTTAAAAGAGTGCTCGAGGTAGGATGTGGTCAGGTTCGCATATGCGGGGGAGTCGACCATGTTCAGGAGGAGGGAGGTGAGTGAGCTCGGGAGGGAGGAGAGGGTGAGGGTGAGTTTCGTTGAGGAGGGCAAGCGGGTTAGCAGAGGAGACTTGAGGGAGAATGGGAGGAGGGGAGGAGGGGGTAGGGGGGCGTCAGAGAGGGCGGTGCCTACACCTATGTTCGCCTATTGAGAGTTAATGATGTGTATGCAGTGATGAATAGGGACGTACAGCACACCAGTCCATCACCGGACTTCCACGATGAGGAGTAGAGATTGTCAATAGGGAACGGGGTGTGTACTCCCTAGGCTGGAGATGGGTGATCAAGTGACGGCAATCAAGTCCCCCCATCGAGTGAGCAATGAAGTTCACTTCCCGGCCAGGGAGCTTCTCGCGTAAGAATGCGTGCATCTTCTCTGCGCGCTCTATGATGCTTCCTGTTCTATCTGGGGGTGAGAGCATATACTTGAGAAAGGGAGGAAGGCGTACCCTGGTACTGCTGGGCAGACAACCTCGGCCCCTACTTTGCCCCTGAGGACCTTGAGCACTCGATCCCAATAATGACTCTGCAGGGCTGGGAAGCTACTCGGTCCTTTAACGTCAAACCCATACAATCCTGTACTTTGTCAGTTATCGGTTGATTAGAAGGAGGGAGAAGGGCGTACCATGACAGAGGATGATGGGAAGGCGAGGGCAGCGAAGAGGGTCGAAGAGGAGGGGATGGAAGTATAGTTTGTAGAGCGGAGTGGGGGGTATTGAGGGCGGTGGGGGGGAGTGCTTTGGGGGCTTTGGGGGCTTGGGGTGAGTGTTGGAAGGGTGAGAGCGGGAGAAGGCTATATGAGGAGGGAGGGAGGTGGAAGAGGACTCGACTTGTTCCAATAAAGTAGTACGCCATCGCCATCTGAGAGCGACAGCCTTCACACCGTCACCTAACGATTCCCATATCGATCGATGTTCAGGTTGAGCAGTGGCGGATACAGCAGCAGGGAGTGATGTCAGTGAGAGGGCGGTGATGAGTCGTTTGAGGAGTGCGAATGGGGGAAGGGCGAGAGAGGTAAGACTAGGTGAGGTCATCGTTCGATAGATGAGGGAAACATCGACAATACAGGTGACGACGGGATGACGTGCAGGGGGTTATGAGTATCGTCGATTAGGGGTACTTGATCACAGCAGAGATGATGATGAATGATGGTAGGAGAGAGCCAACGTGCGTCCAAAGGGAATCTCTCCCCAACGAGAACGGACCATAACCGGTTCAGGGTCACTCAGTAACGTCATGTGAAAGGGCATAGCCACTAATATTCATCGGCCTTCATTTAACGCCGAATCTCTACCTTGCATTCCACCACATCCTGGGCGATAAAGTGATCCAGCATCGTACCCTTTTCCATGCACTCAGCATCCAACATCCCCAGGATAGCTCTAACGTCCTGCCCTTTCTGGACCGCACACTCCGCACACTCCTCACACTTCCCCTCCCCCATATGCCGGCTCAGAGCCTCCCGCCGTTCATCCGACACGCGCTGTTTCTTCTTCGGCAGAGTGCACGCTCGGCACTTGCACTCAAAGTGGTACTTTTCCATCAGGTCAGATTTACGTTCCTCCGCAGACTTGAATATGGAGGTGTATGAGATCGTGATCTCCTCGCCCTGCTTGATCAGTCTGGTGCTCCACACACTCCCGCAGAACGACTCGCTAAGCCCCGTTAACCCGTGCGCCTCAAAGAAGAAAACCACATACTAGTCCCACGACACCTGGGCATTAGGCGTACAATCATGATTCGTCCTCGACATCCAGTCGTACACCACACTCTGTACAGAATCCTCATCGAACGGCAACTCGGTAGGGAACGCGTTCGTGTTTATGATCCCATGCAACTCGTTTTCCCCAGGACGACAATTAGACAGCTTGAGCAAGGTCGGGTATTGATCTGGAGCAACTCGTTTATCCAGTCGGGTAGCCCAGCCAACCACGCAGGCGTCTGCACAGGGCGGAAGATGATGACCGGCCGTTCACGGAGGATCAACTGCCTAGGTCCCAAATCGCGCTTCGCGCGCAAACCCAGTCCCTTCCCGTCAATGGACACGATCTCGACATTTCGCGCATTCTTCTTACAGAGCTCGGGAGAGATGTACGTCTCGTACCCCGGGTGCGCTCGCAGCCGGCGGAGATTGTCATTGTACACGAGGCAGAGGGTATTGTATGCGTCTGTATCCCAATCGAGCCCGAACCGGAGCCCGAACTCGTCCACTTCCGCTCGAGCGGCCGCCTTACCAGTGCGTGGCGCATCCTCAGGGAGCGCCGCGCTGCCGGCGCTGAGGGGTAGTCGCTGCTTTTCGACTCGATGGGCCTGCTGAGGAGAGTTAGCAGAGCGGTCGCCACAGGGGGACTACTGACCTCTGTTGTCCCCTCAGAGCCAGTGTCGCCGCTCCAGACGTCGTAGCAAACGCAGCTTCAGGCTCGGTGAACTTTACCTCACTGTCAGCCTTCGGGTCGGCCAATCCTCTGACAGTAGGATCGTCCAGCCCAGCAAGTTTCTTCAAGAATCCACGTTTCATGTCTTCTTCGAGTATGTAGACAAGCACAAGCAAGCAAGAGAGTAACGTAACAAGCAGACAAGTCCAAACAAGCAAGAGATTGGATAGCAGAGCATCTCCCCTCCGCACGAGTCCCATCCTCGCCTCCCCATTAGCTCCCTCAGGCCAGCTACATACCCTCAGTGACTGACTCTGACTACACGCGAATAACCTCGCGATTCGGACTAACCTCTCTCTCGGAATGTGCACGTGATCTTGTGTTCGATGGGTTTGTTCCCGTCTGTTGTTCTTCGAGAGACAGCGACCGATAGCCTCAAACAATATCCACTTCTGCTATGCTCGTGTAGTGAAGCGCTTCCTCGGTTGAAGATCGACGCCAGGAAGAGAGATCTCCGCGCCAGTAGGAAGGATCGCCTCCCCCGTTACTGCCGTTCGCCGCCGAGTATCACGGAACTTCATTGTTTGACGTCGTGTTGCCATTTTCGGAAATGCGGATGAAAGTGGAGAAAGATCAGTACTTCACTCTCTGGAGAAATCGTCATCTTCTTATATAACTCGACTTGGACTATGAACCGCGGTTTTCGGAAGGATATACCTGGCTTGGACAGGGTCTAGACCAGCTTGGACAAGAACTGGAGAAGGACACAAAGCCAATTTATATGGCTGCTAATTCCATGCATCTGGAAACTGTGCACCATCAAGCAAGAGAGTAATGAGCAGACATGCATCTGGCTGATGTGTTAGCTCCATCATGCCAGTTACATACCTCATTGACTTGGCTCCAGAGGGAAAGATCAACTCCTCAGGTGTACTCAGGTGTAACAGCTTCTCTAGCCTGCAGGTGCATGTGATCTTGTATATGCAGGGGTTTGTTCCTGTGCTCTGTTGTTCTTCCACAAGCTGCAACCAATAAGCTCAAACAATATCTAGTTCTGCTATGCTCATGTAGTGAAGTGCTGTCTTCCTCTGTCGAAGGGTCATCTTGATGCCAGCTCAAAGGATCTTGATGCCAGCAGGAAAGATCTTGATGCCAGTATGGAGGATTGCCCTTGTTATGGCCATTCGCTGCCCAGCATCACTCCAGATCTCCTTTGTTTGAGGGCCTCACATTGCCATTCTGGGACTGAGTGGAACAGCATGCATGAGGTGCTGAAAAAGGACAGAAAGCCTTTCATCGGCTTGTCAAGATAAGTGCTTTTGTTTACTCTCATACCAAATTGATGCTGATAAGACATCATGTAGGCTATTTGCAGGCTTGATGAGGGGCAACAACAAGTGTGCTCTGTGCCTGTGCCCTTGTGCACCTCAGAGGCAATTTGCCTCCCAATTTTTTTAAATAGTAAGCAATAGGTAGGCGCTCCACGCAGTCCTGGGACCTTGGTCTGGTTTGTCCAATTCTGTGATCATAGTAGTTCATGCCTGGTCCTTTCTGTATTGTACTGTTACATGTATAATGAACAGTGTACTAGTGGTATTGTATTTACAGACAGCTCACTATGTATCTTGTACAGGCTGTGTTATGTTGACTGGTTCTTTAGGTTCTTTTGCTGTCCATGTACTTGCTTCAATTGTTTCTATGAATACATATGTTTCTGTTAGGAGCTGAATTCTGTCTAGCAAGTCAGACAGTGACTGTACTGGTAACTGATGGCTTACTTGGACAGGGGAAGTGCATATGAAGAACCAATGGAAGCAGGTGCAGTGCATGCAGACAGTACAGTATGGACAGTGTCTTGAGAAGCAGAGATGGTACTTGCAGGCTTTGATGTGGTTCTTGTCTGTTCAGGTATGTCAGGTATTACAGGAACAGACAGTATGCCTGTACCTTTAATGTACTGTCAGACTTTGATGAGGTCATCCTTGGAGGAAAGTGCGTGATGAATTTGATAATATCATCCTGGTTCTCTTCCTTTGATTGTAAGACATGTTTATTTGGTCATGTCATGTCAGAAGAATGTTCAGGTGGATCCTTCCTTTTGCATTCTACTGTCTTTCCTCTGCAGACTGGTCCATCTGTCATGGGAGATGAAGTTGAACAGTGCATAGAAGGGTCTGAGTCTGTGATTGTTGAAGTAGAGACTGTCTTCATTGTGGTCAGTTGATGATCAGTCAGGGACATTATATGGCATATATGTGGGTGTACTGTGATGGATGTTGATTCTGTATGATAGACATGAACTTGCTTGATAGTGCCTAGGTCTGGAAGCATGTCTTGATAGGACATCTGTTTGAGTGCATCAATACCAATTGGGCTTGTGAATTGTTCTGGCCAGTAGGATGAAGGACAGAAGATAAAACATGTGCTGGATGTGAAGAGAGAAGTGTGCTGATATTGACATTTTTCAGAGATAGACATGGTGATGACTGCAAACTGCTGGTCTTACTGTTGTCAATTCAAGATGCAGGTAAGTGTTTGTACCAGTTGATAGACAGGAGATTTGACCAACACACAAGTAAGGAAAATAGGGGATTCAAGTTGTGTTCTGTCTGTTTTGTATGGATGATTAATCAGCAGTGGAATTAAGATTTTATGCCATTCACATGCATGCCAATATTGTTTCCATATATATATGACCATAAAGTTCCTGTCCTACCTGTCCGGCTTGTTTCTGTACTATGACTTGTTTTTGTTGACCAGTATCAGTCAAACATGGAATTGGGGAATATTAAACTGACAACACATTACATCCGGTCACTTTTGATGGAGAAGACACTACCTGAAGATGTTTTTGTACAGATACTATCAATGAAATGGGTGGCTGTGAATGGATGTACACTGGAACTGGTCTGATACAAGTAAGTCGTGATGTTGCTTGTATGTGTTCCAGAACTGACACGTTGGACAGAATATTAATCAGCAATGGTGTACATGATATGCCAGTCATGTTGTCAACATACCAGAACAGTAAAATTGATGAGGGAGCAATTACTGTGATGGACATTGTGAAGTTGTGATGAGTTGACCATCACATATCAGGAGGTTACATGTGAATTGGTCAATATATGTGGCGTATATTTATGTCTATATGATTATACAATCCAGTGTCATTATATTGTGCTTGTTGGATGTGGTCATGCCATGTGACAAGAAATGCAGCAATCCTTCCATGATTGATGCATTACTTGACCACATTTCTTCTCATTTCCCTGGTCACAGTCCATTTGCAACTGTATCCAATGGTGCTGTCAATGGACCTGGGAGTTTAAGTTCAGCAGGACCTGTACAAGTACCAACTACAATCTGGTGGGCTCAGACAGATACTACTAGTTGCGTCATCCCACTCCTGGCCTGTGACACAGATGGGTATCATTCTATTGCAGCTCTTTGTCCTGTCATGACCATGTAAGTCACTGTCTATTTATGTTGAACTTACAGAAACTGAATGCCAATCAGATTCAAAATACGAGCTTGTGTATTGTGCAATACTGGTGCCACTGAACTGAAGTCAAAGCCTGGTTTCTTTGTGTCCAATTTAGTATTTGGAGATGCCACTGTGAGTTGGTTGATTATCAGCCAAACCATTATTGACATTAACATTAGGAAAGGATCAGTGAAGTTGCTTGGACTCCCAATGCTATCTGTAAATGTAACCAGCTAAAAATTGGAAAGGTACTGTATGTTATGTTACATTAGGCAGGTTCTGACAAGTATGCAGGTATATTCTATCAGTGGTGGACAGATCATTGAGCCTCCTGGTCAGTATTTGGTTGGTTCTCCTTTCCAGATCAAATTCATGAACAGAATAGAGATTAGAGAGGTATGTTTCTGTATATTGTGAGGTCAATTCTGATGGGAAAGTAGTTGCCTGATGATGGGAAAGTGCCAGCACTCAAATATGACTTTGTGAAGCTTAAAGACATTGGATCTGTGTGGTCTGGCAGTTTTGGTATGTGTTTTACTGTAATTTCATGATGGATACATCAATATTGACCCTAAAAACAGATATTCTTGTTGTGGTAAACATGGTCAGAGAAGAGATTCATATGTTCAATATGAACAAGGACTGTACCTGTGCACCAGTTGACTTGGCCAAAACTTTTATACCAGCATCTCACCTGTTTACTCCTGTTGATAAAGGAATATTACTGCAAGAACTTCAAGTATTGGACACTTCTGGTTATGCCAGTTGTGTGGTGCTGTGGGAACAAGATTCTGAATCATTCAATGCTGTTCCTGGTGATGTCATAGTCATACAGGCTGTCTGAGTATCCAAGTTTGGTGGAGTCAGCCTGATAATGGATGCCAGATCAAAGGTTCTGTATGATCTGGAATGTAATGAAGGAAGCCAAAGTGTTACAAGAATGGTAAGTTCAATGTTCTGAATAGTATTTGTACAGGCTGACACAGTCATAGGGTGAACAATGGTGGTCATGACAAACCTTACATTGAACATTCTGATGTTGTGTTCACTTCATCAGCCAGTGACGATCAGTACTTGACGACTGGCCATAATGGTCTGACCAGTATCACAGACACTGTCATGAACAAACTCAGTTCCAATGGAGAGAAGACTGTATTCAAGACAAGAGCTGCACTATCATGGATCAATACAGACCATATCACCTATTATGCTTGCCAGTTGCCTGGATGTAATGGATTGGCTAATTATTTCTTGGTCAAGTTGCTGACAGCAGTCAAAGTCAAAGACACTACTCATTTTATGAAGATGTTAACAATGGGAAGCAGACCAAAATGAAGGAAATGTGGGAATGTTGGGTTTGTGGGAACAGCTTTGAAGAACCTTGTTACTGGTATATATTTTACAGACTCATTTTGAAGTGACTTGACTGAATATTTGTCAGTTATCACCTGGAAGTAGAAATCACTGATACTGGAGAGACTATCAAGGCAACTATTTTTGATCAAGTAGCAGAATCCATTATTGGACAAAATGTGTGTAAGATGGAGGGCCTATGTGTGAGTTCAGCATATACAGGGAAGTTATGTGATGCTGACAGTCCCGGATTGACAGACTACTGAAAGATTGGAATTCAATGAGATTATTGAAGATGCCAAGAAGTGGTATACTTTTAATGTGCTTGCTCATACTAGTCAGGTAATCAGTCTGTCATCATACTGATTCCTGTTGCTGACAGTCTCATAGACAACTTCTCTACTCACATATAATATTACATGTGCCAAACCACTAGTTCAGACTGTTGAGCTCAGGAACAATCCGATCGACAGAAGTACCGGAGGGATGTGAAAGAATAACATGAACAGACTGATGGACATTGCTAGTTGGCTTGTACTGCCTGTCATGATAATGCATTGAACTGGAACTGCTGTACTATTATTATGAAAGTTATGTATATTAGTACAGAACAATACATGACTCTGATCAGTGATATGAACATATGTCTGATGTCATGGATACTGTAAGGTATGCAGTAAGGACTCTTGTGTCTTCACTTTACAAGACAGTTCTATATACCAGAGAGGAGAGAAAGTACACTCCATAGTATATTGCAGTCAATGATATTACATTATATGTCTAGCCGGAATGCTTGTGTTACAGTACACAGTAAATTATCTGAGTCCTGCAAGTGTGTTTTAGTGAGGACTATTTTGCAGGTGAGGCAAATATTTGAACTCATGTCTAGTAAGATGTTGCACAGCATCTTGAACTGGAGTTTCTGGATTCAGTGAATTATTGTGTTATACTTGTGTTCATTGGTAGTCTTCATGTGCTGTTAGTGATCTGACAGGTATTGATATAAGTTTATACCTTGTATAATGCAAGGTCTGCTGCACTCATCACAAGTTCTTCTATAGTCAGGTGCATAGGTCCAGTCATTTCCTGCCATGTAGAGTATGTTAGGGCAACACAGGCTGACTAAGTCTGCTCACCTAAGAGTGCCAAGAGTCTAA